ACAATGGTTATATGAATAAAAGATGCCCAATGTAATTACAAATAAGGAAAATATAGACTAATACGTCACAAGTTAACTGAAAAGTCATAGAAAGCTAAGGAAAATATGTTAATAACTGAATAATGATGCTATGAATTTATATGACTATAATATTTTATTAAAAACTTTAAATTTATATCAACATGACAGAATGCTCTATTTAGGTGAAAAGAGGTTACAGGTCAAATTGTAGAATGTCTTAGAAAATACTTTGAATTTATATGAAATTGTTCTATCGTGGGTCCTACACTTTCTGATCTTCATTAATGATCTTCCTGATGTCATCAGTTCTCAAGTAGGTATTTATGCAGACAATACCACTATTTACTCCTGACTCAATAGCAAATCTGGTGTTGCTGACAAAAAAAAGACCTTCAATCTGTGGTTGACTGGGGCAAGAAATAGCTGGTAAACTGTAATGCCTCAAAAACAAAACTGCTCTCTTTTACTCACCACAGAGAAACCTCCCTGATTCCCATTAGAATATCTGATGCTCAACTCCATGAGATTGCCTCTTTGCACCTGCTTGGTTTCACGCTATCTGCTGACCTTAGATGGAACAAATACATTGAATCAATAGCTTCATCTACCACAAGAAAAGTTGGTTCTATGTGTCATGCCAGAAAGCTTTTCTTGCCTGGGTCTATCTTTCAAATCTATAAATCAACCATTTGCCCTTGCATGCAATACTGCTGCCATATATGATCTGGAGCCCCCACTGTTCACCACAAGGTCCTCGACAAAATCCAAACACAGATATGCAATGTGATTGGTCCTGATCTGGCATCTCATCTACAGTCACTTTCTCACAGACATGCTGTCATGTCCCTCTGTCTTTTCTACAAACACTTTCACAGTAACTCTCTGACGAGCTACTTTCACTAGTTCCCAGACTGCATGAATTTAAGCATGCTACTAGGCTGGCATCATGGTCACACCCTTTCACTGTCAAGATGGTTAGATGCGGCTGTCTATTCTACTCCAATAGCTTCATGTCTCACACTTCCTGTCTGTGGAACTCCCTTCCTCTTACTTGCTTCCCTGTTAGCTATAATATTCAATTATTCAAATGCAATTTCAATCAACATCTTCAGATGCCTTGATCTAATTCCCTGTCCTTATGTACATCCTTTCCTCTATCAAACCGCTTTACTCTTGCTCTCATTCTCTGTAATCCATCACATGTTAGTGGCACTCCAGCCATGCTTGAGGTGAAATGCTTAAAAAAAAAAGAAGGAAAAATGCTGAGAATATTTACAATAATCTACTATTAAAGTATGGGTTTTTACTTAACCTTTTTGTCTAGATGCACTTTTATCTTCAGTAAAAACAAATATAGAAAATGTCACATGTTGCAGTAAAAAAAGAAAATGATATAAAAGATGCTATGGAACTCATGCTTTCTATTTATTTCCACAAAAACTGCAACAGATACAGGAGCACAATAATACTTTCAGATAGAGGAAGTTACAAACACTATTTTTCAACGTGGTCAAAATCTACCCCAGCACATTTTACCCGTACACTGCTAACAGTGATGCCAACACACATTAACCACCACCAAAGTGCATTCACATTCACTCTTTGCTCTCTGTAAATGCTCAGCAAACATCAAAAAATGTTAACAGGTATAATTTTTTTATGTATGGAAGAACTGAATGAAAGACCAAGGCTTTGTAGGCACTTTTCTTCCAGATATCATTTTGTTAGATTACAGCTCAGTTGATATCTGTGACAAAGCAAAATATACTTACATACAAATATAGAATTAGATATTCTTATTAGTAATATAATAATAATATTATTATAATATTATATTATTATATTTTTATAAGTTCAACATTTACAGCTATTCTATTAATATCAACTTCTGATGTTCTAGGCTAATTTAATAAAGCAAGAGGAATTACTTTCAAAGAAACCCTTGTGTACACAAAAAAACAACAATAAAACTAATGCAGTAAGAAAGATCTGAAAAAATTTTGTTGAATAATTTCCAAATGTCTTAAGAGGGTTAAATTACAATGTGATATTTGTTCTATATGAGAACAGTTGCATTGTCTGACAGTATATATGCTCTTTGAAAAACTGAAAAGACTTCCACATTTAAGTTTAAAAAATATCATATATACCAAAACTCAAACAAATTGATGTAGAAGCAAAATGACTTAAGTGTTAACAGTCAGTAGTGTGCAGAAGTGGGACAGAGGATACAACTCCGCTGGGCATCCATACTGAGAGGGCATGTAATCAAAATTTAGTTTTTGAAATATGAAATTGTCAGTTAACTTCGTTGTAAAAGCACCTGACAGTCCCACAAGCTAATGTGAATGTGGATCTGTGTTTTGATAAGCAAGACTGAAGTAGGCTCACCTACTTGAGTCTTAGGGACATGCAATCAAGGTGCTGGCCACGAGCATCACCAAACCTCTGCACATCACTATTAACAGTGTAGAATCAGAAAATCAAATTAAAATTTTGACTTTTTTTCCTGAATCTATCTTGCACATTTATAAGTTTATCATTCAGCTATGCACTGAATATTGCTGCCATATCTGGTCTGGTGCTCCTGCTATATATCTAGATATTCTTGAAAAAATCCAAACAACATTATTGGTTGTGACCTGTCATCTCTGGCTTCAGACACTTACCCATTCCTTGATGTAGATTTCCTTTGCCTTTTCTATAAATACTTTCACAGTAATTGTTCTGATGAACTTTCCTCTTTGGTAAGATTGGGTCAGTCTTTGCGGCTAGCTAAGTTATAGTTAAGACAGAAGAAGACTGTCCTTTCCCCAATCCCCTTTTCGGCCTTGTGCCACATTTCTGTATTAAACAGAATAAATATCACTTTCCTCTTTGGTACAAATTGTCCATATGGGGACTAATTAGGACTATATAGAGACTATGAGGTATTATGGTGGCTGCTGTGAGAATGCTAAGAATGTGTTGTTTCAATGTAAGAAATACCATGGTATGTTTAGGTCAGTAATTGTGGCTAGCTAAGTTTATGATAGATTGAAGATCAGCCTTTCCCTCTCCCCTCTTTTGGTCTTGTACCATATTTTTGGATTATAACAAAATAAATATTACTTTCTTTTTTGGTACCTCAACATCATGACTTTAAATGCAGTAGTACATTGGTAGCTAGGTGTCATCATTTTAATACTGAAATTGCTATATGTAATCTAAAATTCTATGCAAATAGTTTTTTCTCTCACACTTCTACCTTGTGGAGCTCTTATCCAGCTTCTTGCTTTACCTGTTAAGTATGATCTTCAATAATTTAAATGCAACATCAATCATTGTCTGTCTCTTTGAATCTTGCTCTTTTATTGTCTTCCCTGTTTCTTTAACTGTTAACCCCTAGTGGATTTTATTACCTTATTTTGGGTAAAATAAGTTTGAAAAAAATTAAACTATTTATCTTCACTTGACACATATGCCATTTGGAATTGAACAGGACTGCACACAGCCATTTTGGTGTTGCTGATTCAATGTCAGTAATTCTTTTTATACAAAAAATTCACAAAGAAGAGAGCTACTGTTAAAATGCTAATGATGAATGAAGCATGTGATTTAAATGAAACAAGAAATGGTAGGAAGTGAATAATGATGATAGATAACAAGTTTATAATATTCTTGGAAGCACTTATGTAGGAGCCTGTCTGATCAAAGTGACAGTTCTTGGGGAAAAAAAGAAGCTATCTGGTTGGAACTTCCTTGTTACAATTAGAACAGAGGGGGAATGTGAGTGATTTGACACTGTGGAAGTAGCACAACATATCCTATCTGTAAAGGTCTGAACTGGTAGAATGATAAACCAGCTCATACACTCATTAGTGCCTTGCCACTGATTTATCTGCATGAATCGATATGTCACTAGAGAGATTTTTAATTATAGGAAAAAAGAATGTAGCAATGCTTTGAGAGAGTAGGTGCATATTACTAACTTGGTTTTCATATCACGTGCCAAGTGTATATGTAAAACCAGAAGCAGGGATATGATCTGGTTTAATCCCCCTTTTCATTTGTAGTTGAAAACCAAAACTGGAAAGATGTTTGTTAAGTTATTGGATAAACATTTTCCTAAAAAACTCTTTATTAGCTAAGGTGTTTAAGAAGACAGTGAAAGTGAGTTGCAGTTGCACTGGTAACTTGCGGAATGTAATTAAGAATCATAACATTAAAATTTTGGAGACTGAAAAAGGTGGAAGGCAAGAATAGAAGAAATGCAACTGTAGAAATAAAAACAATTGGCTATTGGATGGGGAGTGCTTCATGGAAGGCATCATTTGCATTACTAAGATCAGTGATAAGCATGGTTTCAAGAAAAATACATTGGATATACTGAGTGCTCTTTCTAAAAGAGATTTTATAATCATGCTTTGTCTTTTAGAATGAAAAAACATAGAAATGACACATTATTTAACAAATAAAAATTGGGCATCTTTTTCAAGTTCAGCTATACCCTATAATAATGTTTGAAGTAATATATGTATATATATATATATATGTATATATACAAACACACACACACATAAACATACCCTACATTTCATTTTATATATGTGCTTACAGCAATGACAGATAACATTTAACAAATTGCTAAACATTTCAAATATTGAATTCCCAAGTTTCAAAGAATAGCACTTATACATATTTGCATATATTAACTGAAAATTGCATTAACACTCCATCATTTAGACATATACAAACATATATTGAAAATAAATACAAGCATGAATACACACACACACACATATATATATATATATATATATATATATATATATATATATATATATATATAGACACACATATATTTTTATATATATGCACACACATATATATGCATGCACACATATATGTAAAAACACAGATACACACACACACACACATATATATATATATATATATATATATATATATATATATATGTAGCTTAAAGACACATCATGTTGAAACACCGGTTCTCTTACAATTACCAAAGTTAAGCAATGTTGAGCCTAGTCAGCACCTAGATGGGTGACTGCTTGAGAATACCAGGTGCTATAAGCTTGGATGTGTAACTGGTGTAATAGATAATGGCTAAGAATTGTTAATCGGAGAGCCAAGTTCTAATTCCAGTCGGGTTGATCATATTCACGTATGCACAAATATGCTTGTAAAAGGTATGAATCTCTCCCTTAGAAAATGAAATTGCATGCAAAATATTTAAATTTTGACATTAAATAGACTATAGAGATTGATATGCTGCTAAACAAAATCAACCAACATATACATATATATATATATATATATATATATATATATATGTATGTATGTATGTATGTATGTAAAGGAGCCATAGTGATAGAATCAATGATGGTACAAAAGAGGGTGACTGGAAAGTAGCCTTCACTGTACAGGGTAATACTTCCATGACTAAATAGTGCATCCTGAGGGTAATCATAGGTGGTAGAATATAATTATGCAATCAAAGTAATTCCCTGTACACTGAGGGCTACTTTCCAATCACCCTCTTTTATGCCATCATTATGGCTACTTTACATATAAGTTTATGTAGGGAGTGGGAAAAGTTAGTGTAGATACATATTAATCTTGTATATGTATTTATATCTTTTCATGAGTGAGATTCATATGTTTGTGTGGTGGCTTGTGCATATTTACACACTGTTATATGCACCTATGTAGACATGTACATCTATCTATCTATCTATCTATATATATATATATATATATATATATATATATATATATACACTTTTCCTCTCAGTTTTTCCTTTATTTTTTATTTTATTTTTTGTAAACAATTGATTCCCAAATTTTTATCCATTTTTTTGTTCCTTCACTTCTTTCTATTCATTTCATCTCATTTAATCATATTTTATTATTATATATTCCATTTTTTCCTTCTCACTTTTTTTTATCACATCATATTCTAACTACAACCCATCTTTATACACTTGACAACTTGGGCCAACAATTTTTGCTACAACTTTTCCCCTCCTCAATCTATAACTCTCTTCATCTATGTTTACAATCTCATTCCCCCTACGACACACGCTAGTAACAATAGACCAGCCTTATGCTCTTATACCAATCAAAATTATAAATTTAAATCTATTTTCATAAAAAATTTCACCTACTGAGGAATCAGACAGAGATCAGATTTTTCCTAACAATACAATTTCCACCAGAAAATATACCATCGAAAAAACATCTGTTGGTGAGTACTTCCCATTTCTCTGTTAAAGGACACAGGTGTGTCTGAAAATTCCAAACTTAAAACATTTCTTGACATGCTTCATTTCTGTCTTATACTTAATAATTAATATTTGATAAATGTTTATCATACTGATTATATTAGTACACTTTCATTTGACCATGTTTTATTAACTAACCTATCTATTTTATATATATATATATATGATTGGAATTTATTTAAATTCATAAAAACAATACACTAGAATTACTGTTTCTCTCTGCTAAGTGATGATGGCTCAGTGGTAGAAACTCTGACTCACACTAAATCCATCGGGTGTCAGTCCTGGCTTGAGGCATTCGAATGCCTAGTTGCACTGAAGAGCTGTGATACAGCGAAACAGTACTGTCTGCGAATTATATTTATATATATATATGCATAAACACACACATGCATACATATATGCATATGCATATATATATGCACACACACACACATACACAAAAACACACACACACGTAAATATATGCATAAACACACACATGCATACATATGCACACGCATATATATATGCACACACACACACATACACAAAAACACACACAGCCACACACACACACACATATATATATATATATATGTGTATAGTGTATATTAATAAATACACATATACCTACATTTGTAGTGCAACATAAAGTTTCATGGTTTCCCAAATTGTCAGGCACATATCGCAACTTGACTACTTGGGAATCCATGAAACTTTAAGTTGCTCTACAAATGTAGGTGTATATGTATTTATTAATATATACTTCATAGCTCTGTTTAAATACACTGAGCACTGTTTTATTTGCACCATGAATTAAATTAAATAAATATCTATTTGCTTATTTGCATATGTCCGCTATTGCACACATATACAGTTGCTAATATGTCATTATTTAATTTATATTCACTCTTATCTCTCTCTCTCTCTCCCATACACACATATATATATATATATATATATATATATATGTATGTATGTATGTATATGTGTGTGCTTTGTTAAAAGTATTAATTGGAAATATATTCTTTAATTTTATATGTTGTTGCAAAGAAATTTTTTTCCAAGTGTCTCTGTTACCATGTACTGTTTGCTATTTATTAACCTGGTGGATCCAAGAAATATAAAGAGTGATTGTTTATATTCCATTCACCTTTGGTTCTCACTTGGGATCACTTTATGGAATCGACATGTATCATATCACCTGACCATCATTATCTGTGAAAAAAATGTCACACACACACACACAGAGAAAAGATATGAATCTGGAGAAAATAAAGTTATAATAGACATGTAGATATCAAAAGTAGCAAATAGTCAGATCTTTCTTCTCTTATGCAGACCGATTCCAAAATAGATACAAGAAGTATGGCAATCTATATCTTAAAAATACCAGAAATGTCACTACCAGTATCAGCTGTCAACCTGAAATTTGTATGAAGCAGACAATGGAGAATGGACAAAGACAATGTAGGGAAAAAATGCAAAGAAATTGTAATATTTCAATTAAGGAAAGAAAATATTAATGAGTATAAAAGATGAAGAGGAAAGAAGTAAAAAGAAAAGAAAATCTATAAAAACTGTAAGGAAAAAGAGGAATATATAAAATAAAGAAAAATAAAATTAAGAGAAAGTAGAGGATTTAGTTAGGAAGAAGAGAGAATTAAAAACAAAATTTGAATGAAATCATAAAATAAAGAATACTGATAAGAAAAAGAAAAATAACAATGAGAAAATATCAGGAAAGAATTTTAGCTTGACAGAGAAGAAAAAAAATGAGGAATACCATAGAAAAAAATAGGAATACCAATAAAAAAAAAAAGTGAAGAATTAAAAGATGTAGACAAAATTTGCAATGAAAAAAATGGAGGAATAGACAAGCTGGAAAGAAGAAGAAAATGCAGAGGAATGAAAAGTTAAAAGGAGATAAGTGAAAAGAAATGTAAAAAAAAAATCAAAGAGACAAGGTAAGAGAAAGAAAAAAAGGATGCAGAAAAGTGATAAAGAAAGAAGAGACAAGCAGGAAAGAAATAAGAAGAAGAAAAAAAAGGAAGAAGAAACTCTATAAAATGTTAAAGAATGAAAAAAAAGAAGAGAAATGTAGACTGTAACAATAAGAAAAAGAAAGAAATAAAGTAAAGAAAGGAAAAGGAAATAAGAAAGAAATATGGGAAAGAAAAAGGAAAAAAAGAGAAAGAAGTAGAAAAAGAAATAAATAGAATAATTGAAAAAAGAGGGGAAAGAAGAAAAAGAGAAACAAGAAAAGAATATGGGATAAAAACTGGAAAGGAAGAGAAGGTGTGGAGGAAGAAAGAAAGATGGGAAAGAAAAAAGAAAGAAAGGCAATGAGAAGAAAAGAAAAAGAAAGTTGTAAAAGAAATAAAGCCAAGGAAGAAAGAGGGGAAAGAAGAAAAAGGAAACAAGAAAGGAATATGGGAAAGAAAAAGGAAAAGATGAGAAAGAAGTGAATGAAGAAAGATGGGAAAGAAAAGAAAGAAAGACAATGGGAAAGAAAAGAAAGAAAGACAGGCAATGAGAAGAAAAGAGAAAGAAATGGGTAAAAGAAATCAAGGAAGAAAGAGGGGAAGGAAGAAAAAAAGGAAACAAGAAGAATGGTAAAAAAGAGAAAGAGAATAAAATAACCAAACGACAATAAAAAGACTTAGGAAAATGAAGAGGAATGAAAAGGGAGGAGTACATGTGTCAAGATGATAAAATCAATAAATATGAAAAGCAGATAAAGCAGACAATTCTACCAGTTTAAATCGAACAGATTCAACATATCATGCACAAGGCTGAAAAATTTATGAAAGTGACAATATCAGCTTCTCTTGTGACAACCACTGAGTCAGTTGGCAACACAGGTTTGGTAGCAACTGTGATACATCAAGAGGAATAAGGCAAAAGCAGGAATATATATCACTCGCCTTTTTGTCTGTTTCATATATTATTCAGTATTCAACAGTTCAGGAAGGTTTAGAGTCTGTGGCTGTGAAGAAGTAAAGTTCCCCAAAGCATTATGCGACATTGCTGGAGGAAACAAAACAAAGAATATGATAATATGATCCCTAGGGTCAACCAATTAGATTTTTCATTTGTTATATGGTTGAGTTTGATGTTAAAAGCTGTTATATACATATATATATATATATATATATATATATATATATATATGTGTGGTATAAAATGACAATTGGAAAAAAATCTTAGATTTTGCCAACACGTTTAGTCTTCCGACTTTTTCAAGGCAAAAATGAAATCAAAATGTTTTTGTTGTTATAGTTACATTAAAAAATACAAATTTAAAAAGATAGATGCTTCTGTCTAAGCTTTTTTTCTGGTTAATGCAAATTACCTTTATAATAAAGGATTTTTTTCCATGTTGACAATATAGTTAAATTCCCAGATCAAGTGTGTGGAAAAATATGCCTTAATGATTTTGTCAGTGAAATGACAATGCATGATCATATTGTTAAAAATGAACATTCAAGAAAGTCAGATTTTAAGTTGACATTTTAACACATTCTTCTCTCGCCACCAGCTTAGCACTTAAAGACTTCAATTTAATCAGTTCCCTGGAATACTTTCTTAATGGCAAAATCAGCATTCTTTTTGTCCAGAATCCCAGAATTAATTTCACATTGGACTTCTTTTAATACTAACTAGCAGCATGGCCTGGCGTTGCGCGTGCCTGATTCAAAAATCGTACGATTCATACAACAATCGCTATCACTTGACTTAAAATATTTTTGCCCTTCCTTACCTTTAAAGGAGTGCCCTTTGTCGTGCTGATGTTGCTACATGCCTTACTTCTTGCCTATCTCACACTGCAAATTTATTCTAAGCTCTATACTAAACATTAAATCTGTTACGAAAAAAGAACTAAACAAAATGAACACAAAACAATCAGCTTTAAAAAAGGACTCATAACTGGAAAAACCGAATTAAAAAAGAATGTTAATAACAAATACTTTTTCACACCCAACCCAGTTCTGCAGAATCAGAATCAATGTTGAGTTTAGGCAAGTGAATGAGCCAATTGGAGTAAAGTGCCATGCAGATTTAAATTTTTCCCACTTGTGACGAATGCAGCTATCGATTTTCTTTGCATGCTAGCATGCTAGTTAACATTCATGTCAGTCAGCTGTTGGCCCTCACACTGGTCAATAGAATCTTTCTGCCTATTCGTGGCAGCCAGCTATTGGCTCTCACTCTGGCCAGTACAAAATGGCTGCAAACTACATGAAAACTGCCGTAGAAGCATGAAAAAATTGATTATTTCCACTATCGATGTGAGTTGGGAAATGCAAAGTTAGTCTTGGCCTTCACACTAACTTGGAGCATGTGCATGTAAATTTTGGTGCAAATCCATTGAAAATTGTGGCTATGCATTCGTTACACAAGTACACACATAATAATAATGTTCTTTACAAATAAATTTAACATTTTCTACATTTTTACAGTTACTATTTTATTATCTCTCAAAGAATCTGACTGTATTTTCAGAACAACCAAATATTAAATGCATCAAAAGTAGTTTAATTACTGAAATTAAATATAAAGAAAATTTTTTTTTTTTTTTCAAAGAATGATCCAAGTTCAAGAACTGACTGAAAATGCAAGCAAAAACTCTGTAAAGGAATTGTTACAAATATCACAAGTAATTAAATGCACAAAGGTAAAAAGGGAACAAGAGGGCTGAAAACAGAATGCAATGATTCATTATGTATGGAAAAGATGTTTAACCTTTTGGAGATAAGGAAGTCATGAAACCACAGATTAAGCTGCAAGATTCAATCCTTTTTTTATGCCTCCATTGTAATGATTATCAGATGATGAGTTGAATACTTCATAAAGGTCTATATTCAGATTACATCTAATGCTGCAATGTCTAAATCTGTAATATTTTAATTAGTCATCTTTGATCTTTGTCAAAATAAAATAAAAAGAATCTTTTCTCTATATAAGGTGAAGATCTAAAATCAGATGCAACGTTCTACTTTGTAGAAGATCATCTTTTGTTGCTTTATTGATGAGAGGATAAGTTTTGCCTTTTCAAATGAATATATACTGAGAACGAATCACTGATATTGACGAAATTTCTCTTATTATTATAATACAAAAACAAAAGAGAATGAATGTAGAAAGATTATGTTCTGACAAACAGGAATTAGGAGAGATGGCAAAAAGACAAACCTAAGAGCTACAAAAGACAGGAAGTAGTGGAGAGATATGATTGCCCACATGCTGAAGGGACATGGCACATAGAAAAATAAGAGAGTTCTTCTCCTTCTTCTGTATGCCATGTTCCATCAGGAAGTGGGAGATCATGGCTCTCCACAACGTCCATATCCTCCATATCTTTAATATTTGTCCCATCTCTCCTAGTCTCTGTTCTACTATCCATTTATGTAAGCTAGTTAGATTAGTTACTTGCTGCTTTCCTCTTCAGTATATGCTCTGAGTGTCAAAATCTCCAAGCCCTCTTTCCTAATTATATGTCCTAGAAATTTCAACTGTTTTTTATGATTCAAAGTTTAAATGGATATTTTATTCCCATTTTCCTTAAAACTCTTTTGTTGCTCAAATATTCCATCCATAGCATTCTCAGCATTCTTCTAGAGAACCACACCTCTGTTGTATTGATGGGAAACGTATAAATCCACCTTTTCTCCTCACAGCTATGGGTTAAATAGTATGAAAATCATTATAATCTCAAAAAATTTCTTACAATCCAAAAACATGTTTTGGCTTTAAATAACCTTAAAAAGTTTACAAGCTGTAAAAATCAAATCAATCTGTTGTTTCAAGTTTCCTCTTCATCTGTGAAGAAATTTTTTAATTTAATTTATGTAATTTTTCAATTTAATTTATGTAATTTTAGTTTGAGTCTGAAGGTTAGCTTTTCCTTTTTTTACTCCACTTGTGAATATCCTTTGTTGGATGGAGACATTTCCCAGATTATGGTCCATTACCCAACACTACTATTTGGGACAAACATGACATTTTTTGATTCATGATTGCACAAGAGTATTTGTGCGTAAGCAAATGTAATGAACCTGACTGAACTCCAGTTTCTCATTTCAACCTGTCATTCATTATATCACCCACACATCGCACATCTCAGCTTACAGCATCTGATAGTCCCAAGTCCCTCATCTATGTACTAACCAGGATTAACTTAAGTGATCTGATGAGAACCAGTGTTTCAATGAGATATGGCTATAAGCCAGAATGTTAGATTACTACAACAATTTTTACAATTTGGTTTTATATCCTACTAAAATTGTGTTCTTCATTCTGAATGAAGAAGATTGATTTATTTGAATTGAAAATCAACTTCTGAAATCCTTTTTTCTTAACTGGTTTTGAAAATTTTTTTTACAGCAAGGTTTACAAGACCTGGAGGCCACTTGAGGTAGAGGGTTATGTTTGGAGGCCATTTGTCTGTATAAGAGTGGAATATAACAGTTAACCCTAGCCTTGAAGAGGTTAAGATTGTAGTGATTGGGGAAACATCACAGGTCAGTGATTCACAGGAAGAAGCTGCTCAAATGAAACTTACTTCTCACCAAGGGAATATGGGTGGTTTTCTTCTATGTAATTGGCATGGCGTGTTCTTGCTGTGAAGGTTTGCCTTGGTAAGATCAGTGAATGTAGTTCATCTGAGCACTTTCCAAGAAAGTAGCAGTAGGGCAATGAGAGAAGGTTGAAGGGTGGAGAATAGTTTGTTACCCATAAGGGCTTGGAGTTGCTTTTGAACTTTATCAAGGCTGGAGAGTTAGGTCTGGACAGCTCCCATCCAAAGACAACAGTAATCCATTTTTGGACTGATCTGGCTTTTGTAAAGATAGAAGATAACAGGAGGGCTCAAGTATTTACTGGAGTGCTACAGAGGGATGACCATTTTACCTGCATCCTTAGGAATTGATTGTATGTACGAGTTCTACTTGAGGTTGGGTATGAGTTTGAGACCCAACAGTCTTTCAAGGCATGGGGCTTCCCTAAGAGAACCTCTGTTCATTTTGGTTAGTGGTAGTCCAAATGCAGATAGGTGATGATGGAATGTAACTAGCTTGGTCTTTGAGACCTTGAATGTAACCAGCTAGTTTTTACTCCATTGGGTAATTTATGCAGGATCAGAAGAGAATTCAGTTGCCAATCTCTGACCATTGAGAGTTTTAGAAGTGTGACCATATATAGTTGTATCATCAACATAGATGTTTACAAATGATCTGAGTATATTCTTAGACAGATCATTTATGTAGATCAAAAAGTGGGTTGGTGTGAGGATTGGCCACTGAGGGATGCCTGCATTGAACTCAAGAGCTTCAGAGGACTGGCCATTGATAACTACTTTCAGGGACCTACCTGTTAGGAAGGATCTTATGACTGAGTAGACCATTCCAGTGATTCCATAACTGAAGAGCTTGTGTAGTAAGCCTTTGTGCCACACCTTGTCAAAAGTCTTTGAGGTATCTAGTGATATGGTCCTCAAGGTGTGTCACTGATTCTGTGAGTGATGTTAGTTAGGACGTCAACAGTGGATCGGAACATCCAAAATGTATAATGCTTGTCACTGAAGAGTTTGTTCTCTTGTAGATGCTCAATGACGTTCTTATTGATTATGACCTCAAAGAGCTTGCTGATGATACTGAGGAGACTGATGGGTCTATAATGGGAGGGGGAAAACCAAGCAT